AGAATCTTCACTCTTCTATGGCAGCTCCAGTTGTAGGGGCACCTTGTTTGTTTGCTTTCTAGTTCTAAAACAGTGCCAGTTTGTAAACAGCTCCAGAAGTTGTAACAGGTGGTGAAGTTATAAATCACAGAGCTTGCTGAACTTATTTCTCTTTGAGGACTTTGGAATGGGTAATTACCCTTCACCAGAAGTGTTTAATAAAGAAAAACATGCATTTCCTCGTCTGTGTTGAGGCTTTTTAGCAGACAGCTTTTGCCTTTTCCAGGCTTCTTGTCTTGAGCTGCATCATCCTCTCCTGTAACTTTTGCTCTTAGAGACCCTTGCTTGGTAAGATTTCACGTGGTGCTGTCCTTGTTGAATGCGGTTTTTTGAGGGGAGGTGAGGAGAGGAGTAGGAGTAGGGAGAAATCTTGAGTTCATCTTATAACATGTAGATCAAACTGAAAGGGTGTTCTAAACAATTATAAGATAAGCCCTGTCAGACCAATTACATTTTCAAAATTTTGAGTACTTTAGAAATTCGGTGGTAACTCAGATTTCTTTTTATTTACAGAAAGTCAGCACCCTAGGAGAAGATTAATCTGCTTTTGCCTCATTGTTCCATTATGAATGAATGTACTTAGAGGTTGATTAAATATTTTTCCTTCTGACCACGGGGAAGTATGTCCAAATCCTTAAGTAATTGCATTCTTAATACAAACCTTTCTCATTTTCTTACACTAGCTGGAAAGTCAGGGCAGCTTTCAAGCCTCTGCGTTTTCCATTTGTGGGATGGCAACTTTAGATTGAACTGCAAGCAGTTTGGTCACATAACTCTCTACCAGTTAAGTTTAGAAAGCATAACAGTTCAAAGTGGTTTATTTCATAAAATTCTTTGCACTCTTTGATGGCTTGAGACAATATTTGAAACACTGAAATATGCCTATACTTAGGAGAAAAATAATGTTTTTACCTAATCTAAAATTTTTATTTTAAATGATCAGAAGTTACAATGTATACATTTATGGTTTTTCAGTGAGATAACCTGAGTATTTAAAGAGTTAAAAATAAAATATCTATTATAAGCAAGTGTTGCCTTAAAAGAACATTGTAAAAATTTAGGAACTTTGGACAGTTGTGCCTGATCACACTTAATACATTCTTATGTGTGCTTTATCTTTCTCCAGGTCAGTAACTCCCAGTAGACTGTGAATTATCTAGAGATGGGCTAATTTGTTCATCTTTTTGTTCCTAGCATCTGGTGCCTGTCACAAAATCAGGAGTCGTTTAGCGTTCATTGACTGAATATTTTTTATTGTCAGCATCATTGTTAAATCTAGGCACTGGGTTCAGGTGGCTGCTATTGAATCAGTATATCTGCATGGAATATGTCTGTTTTTGTCTTAAAGATTCACAGTTGATGGCTGGTTTCCCCCCAGAATTTGATCTGTGCATCTTAGTCAGCATTTAGTTTTGCCTTAAATTAGAAAATGGTGTCATTTGTATATTTTGGGCTTCTTTTTTCTTGTTTTTTTTTTTTTTTTTTTTTAACTTAGAATGCTATATTTTCCTCTTACTAGGAATTCTCTTGGGATTCTCTTCTTATATATTGTGTGATCACAACAGACAAGATATACCATCCATTTTTATTAGTTTCCTTATTCATATTGGTGGTCTTTTGTACTAAACAGAATCCTAGAATAATTAAGCAAGAAGAACCAGGAAATTGTGCAAATGAAGAACAAAAAGGGGGGTTATCTCTACCAGATATTATGTTAAAATATAATGTAGAACTTTAATATTTAAAACTATATGGCACTGGTATATGAGTACACAGACAGAAGTATAACAAAATAAATAGAAAGTCCAGAAAGAGATTTAAATATAATTGGAAATTTAGTAAGTTATCAAAGACATTTTAAATTATAAATCATCAGGGAAAATGATAATTGTTTAAAAAATGCTCTTGAAGCCACTTGGTAAACATCTGAAAGAAATTAGGTTGAATCCTTGTCTTCTGTCTTCACCAGAATAACTTCCAGGTGGAGCATAAATGTAAATGTAAAATTGTAAAACCATAAAAGTGTTAGAGAAAAACCATGAAAATGTTTTTATAGTCTTAGACTGATAGTGGCCTTTTTATTTATATTATAAAACCCAGATGCCATTTAAAAACAATGATACATTTGACCATTTACCAGATTTCTACATGACGGAAGAGGATAGTGCACACAGTCAAAAGACAAATGTGGAAAATACAACATGGTTCACAAATTAAGGGTTAATTCCTTAATATGTAACAAGTTTTTCGATTACTAGCACCATAAATCTAACAACAAAATGAGCCAGCTTTATAGAAAGGGAAATACCAATTCCTTTAAATATGTGGAATGATTCATAATGCAAATTAAAACCACAGTGAAATGCCACTTCTCAGATTGGCAGATATGGAAAGCTTCAATAGTACACTATTGATAAGGCTATGGGGAAATTGGCACTTGCATGCATACCATTGCTGATGGAAGTATAAATCAACACAACTTCTGTGGGAAATTGTTTTGTGCTATAAAACTTAAAACCCTTATACCCAGCAATTCCAGTTCTAGGACTTTATCCTGGACATATGCAGAGATAATGTGCTTACAAGAATATTTATTTTATCCCAAATGGTTATGCCACTTTAAACCAACAGTATTCAAGTTCTAGATGGTCCAGAACCTTGCCAGAACTTGGTCTTCTGAATATTGTAGTGGGAATTGTGGTGAGCCATTGCAATGGGAATTCAGTGGTATCTTATTGTAGTTTTGAGTTGCATTTCTGGTAACTGATGTTAGGTTTCTTAGACATTCATATATCTTTGGTAAAATTTTTAAGTCTTTTTGACTTTTAAAAAACTTGGATTGTTCTTGTTAATGACTTGTTAAATTCTTTGTTATGTTTTGGATACAAATATGTTATCTAATACAAGTTTTGTTAATATTTTCCCCAATCTTTGTCTTGCCTATTTATTAATAAGTTTTTGAAGATAGTATAATTTTGATGCAGTCCAATTCATCAGTTTTTTCTTTTATACTTATTGCTTTTTGTGTTCTAAGGAATCTTTGTGTACTCCAAAGTCAAGAAAAGTTAACCTTTTTAAAAAATTTCTTTAGCTTGTATGTTTAGCTCCACTCTACTGCCAATAGATTCTGAAAATAGTCTGTAACCAAAAAGGGCGGGCAGCTCTAGAACCACTGCTGTAGACTGCTGTGTAGTGTTCACATTTGTTCACGTAGACAGCACTGCATCATACTGTCCCTTTCCACAAGAAAATTGTTTGTGAATTGGTGGAGAGAATGGCATTACTTTTGATAAGGTAGGTATCAATGGAATAACTGGCTTTACTATACTTCCTAAGTATACCATTAATTCATTTCTAAATAATCCCGTGTTATGAATTTTAATATCAGGTGAGTGTGTCCACCTGGACCTGCCCTGTCTGGGTGACCTTTACTGCTCTGTAGCAGTAAGGCATCAGCAATGCTGTGAAGACTGCAGGAAGATCAGAGTCAGAGACCTGAATCTGGTCTTCATACTGTCTGCCTTCTGTCTTAGCCAGCAAGCATTTCATTTAGGATAAAGTCTAGAACATGATTTCTGAAGCTGATCCATGACCTGCCTTTCTATTTCTGCAGCACTCTGCTGTTTCCTGTTTGCCAGCGTTATATTTGTTTATGCTGTAATCTTCATCTAGATTGTTCTCATTCCTTTTCAGCCTGTCCCACACTTAGCCAGTGAAACTAAGTCCCCATTAAGACTCTATATCCTCCTTGAATTCTCTTCCAACATCTCAAAAGCAGTAATTAATCTGTTTGTGTACATTTTATGTATAATCTCTCCATTATCTTACAGACTGCTGAATGTTTTGAATGCTGGGAGGGCGTGGTGTCCATTTTAAGTCTAAGTTATAGAGCACCTTTCTGACTCAAAGCTGTAACAGTGCTCCACCCTGAAACAGCAGTGTTCTTTGTCATGAGGTTTGCACTAGGTAGTGTTTTTCAAACTCTGAGCTTGTAACCCATTTGCTGTTTATGAAAGCAGTTTTGGTGGTTAAATGGTCCAAGAGCATCATTTTTTTTAAAAAATGAAATAGAAAATAGAGGATTACATAACATGGGTAAGCATTGTGTAGTAAAAGATTTGTTCCTATTAATAGTTTTATATTTTCATATAGGTTTACTAGGTTATAATGTAAAATGTATTTCTTACTATGGGCTGTAGTTAAAAAAAATGGAAAACCAATGTTTAGATTTAACCTCTATGATGAATTTTGAATGTTAAAATTTAGAGAAGAGATGTTTGGAATTTTAATTAACTTTAATATTTCTGAAAATTTTGACTGAATGATTTCACATAATTTGTACTATTCTCTGTTAATTGGCTACCAAATTACCCTTAGAGGAGTGATTTTTTTTTTCCTTTAGTATCTGTTATATAGTCTATTTATCAGTCTAGATTGCTCATGGAAGCGTGTTGACCAGACAGTACTTTTCAGTGCATTAGAATGGAATCAGTACTATCAGCTGAGCTTACGAATTTAAGAATTCTGACTAAGGGTAGTGAAATTCCACTCTGGAAAATAAAATTTATTTCATGTATAAATCATAATGCTCTCAAATACAAAATTTCACTTATTAACTAGCACTTGTGTCCACTTGAATTTGGAAGTGGGTATTCTTAGCAGTCAGCTCAGCAGGAATCATGTTATGTATTTATCCCAAAAGAAAGTAGAAATTCAGATCTTCTGAGTCAACACAGGCATCCCAAAGGGTGATACCTGAGTTTGAGAGCCTCTGAATCCAATGTGCATTCTTGAGCTAGGAAAAAAGTTACTAATAGGGTTGGTGCGTGTTTACAGTCAGGCTGTTCCGGGTTGACTCCATTTAAACTTGTGATTAGTGCCTTCCCTGGAATTCTGGAGCCTTGCAACTAGGAAGTCATATGTTAGTGATGTCAGTGCCTTTTTTCTTCACTTCTCTTTAGGGTCAGTACAGACCATCGGATTTGCTGTGTCCTGAGACGTATGTTTGGGTCCCCATTGAGCAGTGCCTGCCCTCACTTGAGAAATCCAAGTACTGCCGTTTCAACCAGGACCCGGAAGCAGGTATGTCTGAAGCGGAGCTCAGCCGGAAATCACTGGCTCTGTTTCGGAGTCCGCATGTGTGACTATGGCCCTTGACAGGGTCCAGTAACTTTTGATACAGACATTTCAGAGAGTGTGTGAGTGAGTGCTTGTGCACGGACATGTTTGTGTTTCTAAAATAAGAGACGCTACATGTGCGTACATACACAAAGCAGTCACACACTCACAGTAACGGTTTTGCAAAGAAGCGCAGAAGCCTCCTGTGCTTGTGCTACTTACTGACCCAGCTTCCTGCAGTTGGTTAGTTTTCACATGCTTTGAGGGCTGACACCATTATCCGTTACTTTGACCACTATCACAGTGCGTACGAATTGTTCACTGGATTATTTAGCCAGTGTCAAGAAGATAGAAGTATTGACCAGTTGTACTGAATATAGTTGTGGAATGGTTTCACGGGGGCCCAGGCGGCTGCGATGGGTTTTGTGATGACACTTTCTTGACTTGCCATCTCTGGTGCTGCTTCGTTTCTGTCATTTCTTCTTACTCCTGCCCAGAATAACCCCAGCCATATTTTATCTCTTAATACTCTCCTTTGGATATTGCGTAGTGGTAGCAGGTAGTCACTGAGAGTACAGCCCAGGAGCCAGACTTCCTGCTTTCTGACCTAACTCCATCATTCTTCAACAATTTCATCATCTCTCTGGCCTCAGATTCCTGGCCTTAACAATCAAGATGATAATAAGACCTTTCATATTGGACTGTAATAAGGATTAAAACAGTCACATTGAGAACAAAGCCCCCCTCTTGTGTTGGTGATTGTTAGGCCAATTAACATACCTCGTCCTGTGTATGCCACAAGCTTCTGCGTTTGCCTTTTTTTGCCCTGAAGCCTCTCTCGGAGAAAAGACGTGGAGGTCTGTTCACGTCCCTGTCACCTGAGTACCACCTCCCGTTTACAGCAGCTCTCCTCCCCACAGCCCTCCCCACCCTCCCCGTGTTCGCTGTGGTCATGATGCTCCTGTGCTCTGTGATGGGTCCATTCAGTTGCCGTGTGTGTCTTCCCCCAGACTGAAGTTCCCAGGTATTTCAGTGTGCGCTTCGTTGACCTTTCTGTCAACATAGCCCACCAGAGGAGATGCCCTGTGCTTACTTCTTAAAAATACGAACATGTTCCCAGTAGTCACCTGTGGTCTAGTCTAAGTTTAGGGAAAAAGAAGCAGAGAGAAATGGAGAGGTCAGGGGAAAAGAAGAAAGTAATTGGATAAATTAAATATGAAGACAGAGGACAAGGAAAGAAATGCAGTCTTTTCTTCCCCCATATATTAGGTTTCATTAAAAAAAAAAAGATTTATGTACCCATGTATTTTGTTAACTTCTGGAAAAAGCTGTTATGAATTCAAGAGTGGGCGCTTCTTACACCTGACGATACCTTGGAATCCAATGAAGAACAGCTAGAGGGACCCATTTGCTAGGCACCCTATGGTTAACTCCAGGTTTTTTAGATGTTTAGTTTTGTGGAGCAACCAAAGCTTTGTAGTTCCTTCAGCTTAAATTACTGATCAGAATTTCATTCTAAATTCTACCTCATTGATGAAATAGATTTGTTGCTTAAAAACAAATGAATTTGTCGATTAGCTCTGGAGTCAGGCTCAAAATAAAAGGCAGTAGTATTTTAGAGGAAAGCATATACAGTTGACCCTTGAACAACCCGGGGGCAGGCACCAGCCCTCCACCCAGTTGAAAATCCACATATAATTTAGACTTGGTCCTTTCTATCTGCATTCTTGGATTTAACCAAGACACATTTAACAACAATTTAACCAATTGTGTCCTACTTCATTATTGAAAAAATTCTGAGTATACATGGACTCAAGAAGTTCAAACCCATGTTGTTCGAAGTCAACTGTACTTAACCACTCTATCCCCTTATAAAAAATTTTTCCCTTTATCTTTTCTCAAGGGCAGGTCAGAGCCAGTCCCTGTGGTGAAAATTGCTGACCATCTTAGTGTATTGTTTCATGTTTACATGTAAAAATTTGTCTATAAATTCCTTCCAACTGAATAATAATATCATCTTAAATTGGTTCTGACTCCCAAGCTCATGACACAACTTCACCTTCCCTTTTTCTCTCTTGATCTATTCTAAAGACTGCTTCTCTTCTTACATATACTTGGGAGATTAAAGCAGTCAACAAGCTCTCCCTGGTTTATAAAATTGGAAAGGTGACTGAATGATTTCTGTGTACTGAATGGACAATAAAATATAATGATTCACTCATGTCAGTATATTTTGAATTCATTTTCCAAAGTAAGCACGGATGAGCATTTCATGGCAAAGAAAATTTGAAATCTCATATATGCGGGTTTGTCACGTGATATGTACCTCGCCCTGGTGAGTGAGGAGTATACAGCATGTTCCTTTCCTGTAATCTAAGTTCCATTTCTGTGTTAGTAGCTTCAGCTCTTAATATTCACTCTTTAGATTCATTCGCAAAAGTCAGAGGAGTTAATTTCTTTGGTAATAGTGCTTCAAAGAAAATGAAGATCCTTTTCCATATGCTGAATCTTTGGAAATTTCTGAAGAACACTGTCTAGTTTTATCAGTATTGAATATCACAGTCCAGACACTATTTGAAATCAGACTTAAAACCTGTGGTTTTAGGAAATTAAAATGCAGTTACATGCTGGAATGTGTTGAGCATGCTGTGAAACATGGTCATTTGAGATTTAAATGGCAGTCTGTGAAAAACTGCTCTCTTCTCTGGGGCCAGCTTTACTTTTACATGACCCAAACCTTGACTCAGAAAGTACAGAGCTTAGTATGGACAATATTGTTAGTCGGCGTGGTGCTTTTGTCACTAAAATCTTGTTCCTCCTTTCAGCTGTTTCAGTAAAGTTCTCTGTGAAAGGCACAGTTGATCACCATGGCTGTCTGTGAGACAGTCTTTGGCTACAAGTGCATCATTGGCTACTTGCAAGAAAAATTACATTTCCCTAACTGAATTGCTGACAATGTCTGGAAATTCTATTCTTCCCTGCCCTCAACCCAGCCTCCTCCAATCCCGCACATTTTGGGGATTTGGGTTCTATGGTTATTTGCTCTGCTAAGAATCCTGCACATTGATAAAAACCTATCATATTCACTGCTTTACAGTACCATGGGGGCAGGGGCTGGCAAAGTAAAGTAACTTGGAAAATTTTAAAGAGATTCTTTTGTTCGTAAATAGGTCTTTGTCTTGTCTAAACAAGGGATTTCCAAAGTTCCTCAAGAGATTTTTAAGTAAATGTGATACATTGTTTTTTAAATTAATAGTCGGATATGTATAGACTTTAAAATTTTTGCATCACAGTTACCTGTTACTTTTTTGGATTAATTTACTTTTTTAAATGTTTGAAACACTAGTAGAAAAGTTGTTCAGATGCATAAAACCACTACTAAGATGGAAAGTAAAATGATCCACAGTACAGCAACAATCATTGTTAATTTTTTTATGATCTTGTCATCTTTTTTTTCTGTGTACTTAGCTGTTTGTATTTTTTTAAAAAAACAAATCATGCTTCACATTTTTGTAGTTATTCTTAATACTTTGTGTTGCTTCTTACTTAGTAAAAACTGCTTGACCACTAATGTGGTTGATGATTCACCAAACAGATGCCACTACTTACGTGATAGACAGTATCTAATACAGATACTTCACAAGCATCACTGAAAGAGTAAACCCAGTGGTTTGGAGTCGATTTGAGAACAAGAAAAACCAAGAATTGAATTGAATCCTAAAGGTGCAAAAGAATGGAACGCCAAACGAAAAATGGCAATTGCCAACTGCCTCTACCAGGATTAAGTTACAAAATTTTGTAGCCACTGACTTTGAGCACTCCTGACAGTTCAGGATCAGGAATGAGGCACTCTGTGCTCCTCGAAAAACTGGCAGAACAGGCCTTGAGATAGTTAGATATTTTCAGGAGAATATTTTCATGATCCCAGTGGAGCCCAGTTTTTGTATCTCCTCATATCTAGAAAAGCACTAAATCAGTAACAGAGACATCTCCTTGTTGTGACTATCAGCAAACCTTCACAAGATGTGTGCTGGACTGCTCACATCCCCTTCACTACAATCACACCTACTACTGACCGCTCCCCCACCTCTCTAAAACACTGTCTCTTGGGCTGTATTCCTTGTTTTGCCCCAAATTAAACTTAACTCACAGCTCTTACGTTGAGCTTTTTTTTTTTTTTTTTCAGTCAACAGTACTATTTTTGTTGGTAGTAAAATCCTTTTGGTTCTAGATTTATTAAAAAAAGTTAAAACTTTATTGAGTATATGCTGTTTCCCAAGCACTATTCTACTCTGTGTTCCCCTGTTACCTTATTTTATGCTAGGAACATAATTGAATGCTTCACCACTGATCCCTTGGTATTATTTATTACAAAAATGATGTATTTTAATCAGGAATATAATCTTAATTCAAATGTTACAGTGTAATATTTGTATAATACTTTTTGTATTTCAGAGGTGCTGATTAGAATCAGCTTTATTTCTATTTCCACTTAGAGTTACAGAAGCATATATTTTATCACAGATTAGTCTAGCTTTCACTCTTTTTCTGTACATGTTTTGAAATATTTGCAAGAAAGTTCTTTATTTTTCTATAAGGTAACTAAGCCATAAATTATTAGTAAGGATATCAAATTTAAATTTACCATAAACCATAATAGCACCTAATTCTGACTTAGTGCTTTTATGCATTTTTAGGGAACATAAAATCTTCCCAGCAGCTGTCAGAAATCTAAACTAGTACAAGAAGCTTTTTCCTAATTTGATCCCCATCCCCTGAAACTCGGAGCCTCCAAATTTTATTTTATGTTGTTTCATTTGTCTCTTTTCTGTCTTTACTCCATCCCCCTTTCTCCCTGGCACTTTATCTGTACCTCTGCAGTTTCTGTCGTGTATGCCTGTAGGAAAAATCAAGTCCCACTCTGGCTGTCTGTGTGTGTGAAGTGGCCAGGCTCAGAAAGAGCT